CTTCTTGTTGCCATTGGCCAACTAAAGGAGAGATCATTGAGGTGACAGTCTTATAACCATGTACTGTAGAGCATATAGAGAGATACACAATTTAGGAAAGAGGAAGCACGCAAGATACGATAATGATAAATGTACCTTATAAAGTTCCAAACAGACCAGACCAACAACCAGTGAAGTAGTTGTAGCAATGGCTGGAATAATCTTACCAGCAATACCTTTACTCTAAATAACAGAGAGAGAGAGAGAGATTTAAGGTGTACTTCAGTGTTAATCAATACATTACCTTGTGATAATCGGCAGGTTCAATACTATAATTACCAGCTCTTAAATTAGAACAAGCAACAATAAAGTCCATGTGATAGTTAGTATCATCATCCTACAGAATACAAACACATCATAATAAATGCATATTGGTGCCCTTATGCTATGAAGAAAGTTTGATCAGTTTTCAACAGATAATTTTCAAGTTATGACCAATTGAAAAATGAGCCAATTTTAAAAAAAGCAAAGGCTATAGTCCATGGTTTTTTCAAAAAATGGCCCAAAAGCACTTCAAATTTTTATTACATTTTCTGATACATATTGATGTCCTTATGCTGTGTAGAAAGTTTGAGCTGATTCTGACAAATATTTTTCGAGTTATGGCCATTTTATAAAAGGAGCTAATTTCTGAAAAATTCCCTGTACTATAGCCCATGGTTTTTTCCCCAAAAAACAGCCCCAAAATCACCCCCAATTTTTATTACATTTTCTGATACATATTGATGTCCTTATGCTGTGTAGAAAGTTTGAGCTGATTCCGACAAATATTTTTCGAGTTATGGCCATTTTATAAAATGAGCCAATTTCTGAAAAATTCCCTGTACTATAGCCCATGGTTTTTTTCCAAAAAATGGCCCCGAAATCACCCCCAATTTTTATTACATTTTCTGATACATATTGATGTCCTTATGCTGTGTAGAAAGTTTGAGCTGATTCCGACAAATATTTTTCGAGTTATGACGATTTAAAAAAATGAGCCAATTTCTGAAAATTTCCCTGTACTATAGCCCATGGTTTTTTTCCAAAAAATGGCCCCGAAATCACCCCCAATTTTTATTACATTTTCTGATACATATTGATGTTCTTATGCTGTGTAGAAAGTTTGAGCTGATTCCGACAAATATTTTTCGAACTATGACGATTTAAAAAAAGCAAGGCTATAGCAAATGATGTTATACATGTACATGTATATGGTTCATCAAGAAAGGCCCCCAAGACAGTTCTCCATTATCATTACTTTTTCAAAGTCTAATGGTGTCATTTTGAGGTCCTTTAGCTCCTGAAGAGAAGGCAGTGAGTTCTCAATGGCAGTCATTTCATCTGTATCACTAGTAACAGCATTGGAAGCAGCTTGGGCCTCAGCATCAGTTGTATGTATTACGACACCTGTAAGATGAAAAGATAATATTATTATGTGCATTAATTTTCATAACATTTTTTCATTACCTGATTTAGGAACAAAGGGTGGAACTACAACAGCAGTGGCCATTCGTCTTATTTCTTCTTTATCTTTAACTGGTTTGATATTGTAAGTCTCAGCATATAATATACTACCAGCAACAATGAACTGCAAATGAAGATCCTACACACAGAGAGAGTATAATATACACATAATCACTAATAAACCATTCATTACTTCACTAGGATCAAATTTAATAGGAGTTGGGCAGCGTTTAGGTCCCGACCAAAATGGCTGACCAGTAGTAGTCTTATGATCAGGAGGAAACACATGGAGCAATTGTGCTATCGTGTTATAATAATACTCCTGGAATAATAGTCTGGCCCATTCTACACAGTCAGGGAATTTAGTTGGCCTTTTATCGATTGCAGCTGTCTTTAACGTACGAAGAGTCATTAACTAACAATAGGTAAAGGATTAAAAGGGAGAATACTTATATAAAGAAATACACCACACTTACAGGTTCATTGCCAGCTCCTTTGTGAACCCTTGCAAGAAATCCAGCTGGATCACTATACATAAATAATTTTAAATTTGCCTTATTTGGTACTTCTTGCTTTACCTTAAATATTGACAAACGATGTCAGGAGGTTGAGCAAACAACTCTTCAAACTTCTCTCTAGCCCACTACAAAAAGGGAAGAGAGACTATCAATTGCTACTTTTTACTACCATAAAAAATTGAATTTCCATCACAAAAACACACGCTACTGTGTATTATGCACTATTATATACTATACCTGTAGTGTGTGTTCAATGGCATTAGGGAAGTTGTGGAGAGTGCATATTGGCACTGTCTTCTCTGGAGGATCTTGTGATGATCCATAGCTCTCAGTTGTATTGGGCAGTACAACCTGAACATTTCCTTTGGTACCAAGAGTACCTGATTCCAGCAAAGGCTTGCGATAATAGACACACCTCCTATCCATGTACAGACCTGGGATTAAACAAGGGGATAGGATGAATATTATATTGCATTAAAATGGAATACGGTAAACTCACGGGCATCAACGTTATCCAGTGCATTACAGACTCC